AAGGCATGATAATAATACTTCAGCCACTGACCAACATGTGTCCATGATAAATTGTTTATAGTTGGTCTAAATTTTGAGAATTTATAAGAAAGATGAATAATAATGGAAATCAACAAAATTGGTTGCTCTGAACTCTTCCACCTCTTTTCAATCATCATTTTTTCAGAAAAATCCAAATCATGATGCATAAAAAAATTGCATAATGTATATGCAAAGCAATGGTCCACTTCATAAAGTCTTGCAGCATCTTTTTGTAATTGATTGAGAAAACAACACAAAGGATATAATGGATTTTGTAATGAAAATAGCTTTGTTCACGGAGTATGTAAGCAGATTCGAGGCAGAGTACATCCTAAAACTAAGGCAATAACTTTAACCAAAGGATTTGATGTATCAGAAACTGGTATTCTGTCAGTATCAGAGACAATTAAAGACAAACTTTGTATACCAGTGTGGAGCTAATATTGCTAATAAAATAGCTGCACAGAATTTTTCAGATACAACAATTTGGGTATTCCATTCTTGAGGAAGGGCAAATATTTCAAAAAATATTTGAAACAGTTTATTTTCGAGTTGGTATGATTAAGGATGTTACTGGAGTGGAATTGTATGGAGCATTGAAAATGTTATTGTGATAGGAGCAGGAATAGTTGATGGATTGAAAATGAGCGAGAATACAAAGATGACAATAATTAGAGTGGGATTTTTGGAGATGAAGAAGTTTATTCAAATGTTTTATCATGGTGTTAAAGAAGAAACATTTTCTGAGAGTTGTGGAATTGCCGATGTGATTGCTACTTGTTATGTAGACAGAGTTGCTGAGGCTTATGTTTTTAACCAGGAAGGTGAGATTTTTTTTCTTGAGTGATTATTGATTAATTATTGCATGACTAAATAAACAAATGAAACGTTCAAATAATTATCACAATTATTTAAAAATGTTCAGATATTTATTTAACAATGTTAATGAACTGATAATTTTATTGTTGTAAAATTATATAAAAGTTATCTTTATTTGTTTGAATTTTACTTCTTTAAATAATAAAAATAAAATACAATTCTTAAAATATAAATATAAATCATAAGAAAATAAATACATAATAACAAGTAAACTCGATAATTCGGATTTGGCTTAAATCGGACAAAATTTTTTTTCAATAATTAAAATCTCTTGATAAGTCGGACAACATATATAAACCTTGTTAAGCTGTAAGTCGAACGACTTCACCAGCCAGGTATAATAAATTACTCTCGATAAGTCGGAACACGTGATTTAGAAATAACATTCTTGTTTGTATCGCAAACAATATATTTCATAAGTTATATCCATCGATTATATCATTTATTATCTCACTGATGATTTAGAAAGAATATTCTTATTTGTATCATATGCAATATGTTTATATTTATCATTTAGAAAGAACCTTCTTATCTGTATCGTAAACTACATTTGTATTATATATATCATTAGTTATATCATTAGTTATATCATTGATTATATCATTTAGCAATTTGTAAAGAATATCCATTGTTATATTGCAAAACAATACATTTATATATTTTTTAAAACATACTAGTATATATACTTATTTAAATAAAGAATAGTAATTTTTTGTTTATATTCTATTTGTTTTATTCATCTTCTGTTGGTTTTATTAAATGATTATTCATCTTCTATTTATTTTATTAAACGGTTATTCATCTTCTATTTGTTTTATTAAATGGTTATTCTTTTTATTATTTTATAAATAAATTTTTTTTTCAAAGTTGGATATTTAAAGTTAAAATGTAAAAACCTATTTTGCAAGTACATCAAACTCTTGCTACTTGGTGGTATATAGAACACAAACAGTTGTGTTGTAAACTTAATAATAAAGTTTAGTACAAAATAATAATTTGTGTTACAACTCGATAAGTCGGACCATCATGTTCAGCGACCTATAGAGTTTACCTATGTAAATATATAATATATATATATTGTATGGAAGCTTATAGACTTCCCGGAAAGTATGATCATAATTTAGATAACTTCTTTGATTATAAATAATATAAATATAATAATAATATGATTATATTCCCCATAATATAACATAACAATAATATCCACATTTCTTAATAATTATAACAATAATAATATAAATATAATAATAATATGATTATTGCCAAGTAACTTTAATTAAACGATAAAAAAAACGAATCCCTCTGATTACCAAATATGGTAATAAAATTATTTGCCATTTGTGTGACATATTATGGTTACAGATTAATTATCGATCAATTTGAAGAATTAGAAAATGAATTGTTGAATGGACAAAAATTACAAGGAACTTTGACTGCAAAAGAGTTATACATAGTATTGAGTCATAAAAATTGGAAAGCAAGTAAGTTATGAATATGAATAATTTTATTTGTTGAAATCATTTAAAACAATTCTACTTTCAATTGTTTTTTATCACCTTTTAGATTTAAATTGTTTACCACGATTTATCAAATTGCCTATGAAAATTTACCATTTGAAAAATTGTTCAGAATATTTAATACTATTTAAATAAAAAAAGCAATATTCTTAGAATGGATATTCGCAATTAGAATTTGTATCCAAACCAAATTTTTTTTAGTGGTTATATCCTTTGATTATCTGGTGTTTAGCTTAACACCTGGATAATCGATGAATATCATTCGGGCGGATACAACCACTGTTACTACAGTGCAAGACACCCAGTCCCGCTACTTACTGCGCCCGGCGACAGCTGAGAAAAAAATTTCAAATCTTAAAATGCGATATTTCCTAGTAAATTCAATAAATAGTAAAATCGCAATATTGTGTTACCTAATATGGATGTGATCATCAACTAAAAAATAAAACTTTATATATAGTAATAGTAAACTTGTGCTTGATACCTTAGTTTCAAAGTTACGGTTTGTTTTTTTGGTGTTATATTTCCATTTTTTCAATAAAAAGATTACGGGAATAGATGTACTACACTATATACAACCAACAACTAATTTTTTATATATAATGATGTTCAATTCACGCGCGCGCGTGAGTTTCAAATTATTTCGTGTCCCATCCCAAAATTTTAATTAATAATGTTGTGCCAAATTTGTGTCAATAATAATAAACGATCTTTCCGCCACCATTAATACTGACTTATTATACTATTTTGGAAAATAAAAATTTAGTTAGTTTGATCTATTAGAGGGTTACATGTACCAAAATAGTTCCAAAAGGTTAATACTGTATGACAATAATTCATCAAAAACCCTAAAACTATATATTTAATGTTTTTATGTATACATCGATAACACATTATTTTCCCGTTTCTGTAGAATTTTGAAAATTATTCTTGGCAACTGAGAAAAGCTGTGTAATGAATCAGCCCAAAAATGGTATGTGTGATACATCAAAATAGATATATTACAAAGTTTTTTTTAAAAAAAAAAAAACTGAAATAAAACAATTAACAAAACTTGTAACTAACACGTTTAGAATATCATAAAAGAAGATATGGGTGAAACACAAGAGACAATAATCTGGGAAGGAACTACTTGGCCACTCTTCATATGTTCACCAATATGTTGTTCAAGCAGTAAGTGAAATAACAATTAAAAATGTTTTAAAAGAGTCATTCTTTTAACAAATGTTTATAAACAAATATAGAAAAGTGGAAGATAACCAACAGAAGAGTAGATTGTACAAGTGGATGTTGTGGTTCGAGTGAAGATACCTTGGTAATACTATAAAAATTATTGAATTTTGAAATAATTTTATTTATTTATTTTTTAATATTCTTAATAATAATTGCGCAGGACATCCGCAGAATAACCGACATTCAATTTAAAAGAAACTGTGGACAAATGATATTTAATCGAGGAACTCTGATAATATATTCCGCGTATGTGTTATTGTTATAATGAATCAAATCATGATCAAATCAGAATCAGAATCAATTTTAATTATATTTATAATTAAATGTAAGTAAATCCATTAATTATTTATAAATTGTCTGTTTATTTTAGAGATACCACTACTCCAGTAATAAAAATTAAAAGTTGGGGAATGAGAAAAGTGTATAGAAACTTGAAGGAGCATTGGACTCAATCAAAGACTGGTGTAATGTCAGCTGTTTAATAGTTATTTAGGCTTGTATATGAATGATATATATCATTGTTTCATAAATAACTACTCTTTTTCTATTCATCAACAATAATTTGTGTGGTACAAATGGCATCATTTTGCTTTTGTTATACCCAACTTAACTGACAAGTTTTTGGCAAAAACCAATTTCAGCATGTTATATATATATTATCGAAATTTACACTATTTGACCTAACACTTTAATTTATATATTATATAAAATTCTTTGAAAATAATTCAAATTTTTTTTATTTGTTTATATAACTTGATTACATATGCTTTGGATAATAATTACAAGTTGTATCCCGATATCCATGTAACTCCAAATTTGTTCTCTACAGCTTGTCTCTTACGCTTTCCATTTTGATACTGCTGATTTGTACTAGATGACATACACCCCTCAGAAATAAATTTGAAGATGATGTTGGACTTTCGGTCATTTTAATAATAAAAATCATGAAACAAATGTCTACCATATATAATGAAAATAAATCTGTTTTGTATAAATATAAATATCACAAGACTACAATTTTTGCTTTAGACACGGGTCTTGGCAAACTATTGGTTAAAACCTCATTATAACATTCATACAATTTTGATTTTAGGTTTTAGCAAACTATTGATTAAACTTCATTGTAACTGCAACAACTAACTAAAACTAAAATGCTAAATTCCCAAATCTATCATTTTCAAAGTTACCAAATGTCATTGATTATCTTTTTTGGAAATTTCAATAAATTCTTTAAATCGAAAACTGATCGATCGACAAAAAAGGTTCATTCATTCATTCATAATTTAGATTAATTTCTCTTCGTACATGGTGAAATGAAAACTAAATCATCATATAAAAATTTTTAAGTTTTATTTTTAAGTTTTCTCTTTTATATCAATAAAGCTAGAGTTATAATGATTAAAGTAATATTAATTATATCAATGATTTTAATAAAATTAACTTTACACATCATCCAAAAATAAAATATACACTTTATTTTGTAATTAAAGATATTCAATATAAATATAACTTGTATGAATTGTTTGTATTTTTTCATCTAAAGAATTCTTTATTTTTTTATAATTTAATAAATGGAAATTAATAATAATACTAATAATAGTAGTGATATTACTAGTTCATCAAATTCCATCACCGATGGTAATACCATCAATAATAATAATGCCCAAGAAGATAGATCACAGTATAATGTTGTGCTAGTGATATCATTAGATCCAACTGAAATAACTCTTCCACCTTCAAATATTCAAGCCGACATCTCTTCCAATCGAACTTCCATCTTCCTTGCTTCTAATGATGAAAAAGTTTCCATTAAGGAAGATTTTCCTCAAATCGATGAAAATAAAAGTGACGATAATGATGACCCAAAAAATTGGTCAAGAAAGCGTAAAAGCTTTATTATAATTATTATTTCGTCTGCAGGTCTAATTGCTCCATTCTCAAGCACGTAAGCTCTGTGTGCGAGGTGAAATTAATAATGATGATAAATATTATGATTTGCTAATATTATATTAATTTCGATTTCGATTTCGATTTCGGGTTTTGATAGAATAATTTTTCCAGCATTGTTAAGTATACAAAAAGATTTAAATACTTCGGAAATACTTGGAAATTCACTAGGTACTATTTTCATTATTAATATTACTGCAGCTTTTTTTTTTAGGGTACGTAAATAAAAGTTAATTCGTGAATTCACTATTGTTAATTAGTATCCTCATTCGTTTTATTTATGGGAATTGCCGTAAGTTTCCAAGGTCGAAGGTTTCATCATTAATCTTTGTAATATTTATCAAAATCCCCTTAAAATTTAAATATCGTACATATTACCTAATTATTTATAGCCATTGGCATGGGCATCATATTCCGACACTTATGCAACGAGACGTAAAGTTTACCTGGTTTCAATCTTATTATACATAATAGCAAGTATATTATGTGGTATTTCACGTAATATTTGGTTGTTACTTGTGATGCGTGCTTTACAAGCATGTGGTGGCTCTTCAGTTCAAAGTCTCGGTGTTGCAACAATAAGTGACACATTTCATTCATTCGGTAAATAAATAAATATGTTTGTGTATTTACATGTGCGATTTTTTTATTGAATATATATTTTTTTTTTGGCATCTTAATTTAGAACGTGGGACAGCGTACGGACTTTTTTATGTTGGTCCATTAGTTGGTCCCATAATGGGGCCGATTTTTGGAGGATATTTGACAGATTATCTTGGTTGGAGGTGGATATTTTGGTTTTTGTCAATAATTGGTGGCATAATTTTTATTTTTATTTTTTTCGCGTTACCAGAAACTTTCCGACATCAACAATCACCACCACCGTCAACACCGTGTGTTATTAAAGAAATTATCGAAGAAAAAGAAAATATTGGTAATGGAAATGGAAATGGAAATGGAAATGATGAGAAATTAAAAGAATCATTGAATATCAGTTCACCAACATCGCAAAGATTTAATCCAATTGCTCCGTTAAAGTTATTACGATATCCAAATGTATCATTGACAGTAATTTTCGTTAGTGTAGCATTCTCACTTATTTATGTGGTAGGTACACTGTTGCCAAAAATTTTTCAACAACGTTACAACCTTTCCACGTCACAAGTTGGTCTAGTGTTTTTGCCACCTGGTATTGGATATATGCTCGGTAGCATTTTTGGTGGTAGATATTCCGATTATGTTTTAGCAAAATCGATAAAAAATTTATCCGAAAAAAGTAATAATAATATGGAATCTGGTATTAGTAACGAATATCCAGAGCTCAGACTTAAGAGTGCTCTGTTAGGTGGTATTTTGATGCCTATTGCTTATGTAATGTATGGTTGGTTTATTAATTATAATATAAATTTGATTGCTCCACTCTCCATGCTCTTTATAGGTAGGTGAATTACACATACAATCAATTGTTATTATTATATTTATCATTAATTGATTGTTATGATTCATTAATTTATTTTTTTTGTATAGGTGGTGCAAGCCTTATGATAATATTTAGTTCTACATCAACGTATTTAGTTGATTCATTTCCCAAGAAAAGTGCTTCGGTAATAGCAGCCAATAATTTTGGTCGATCAATAACGACAGCTCTAATGTCAATTTTGGCAAAACCATTTGAAGATTTAATTGGTACCGGGTGGTTGTACACTTCTATGTCTTTATTAGCTGTCATCACTGGCTTTGGTCTGGTTTTGGTTTATTATAAGGGCAGGAGATGGAGGGAAAATCTGGAACGAAAGGTAGTGGTTGAAAGGGAATGTGATAAATAGTAATTGTAAATAATAATAATAATAATAATAATAAAAATATTTTCAAAGTTTTGTGTCTACGCAATTTTGCAAATATAAATTCTGCAAAGAACATTTTTATTTTAAAAAAAATTATAAAAACTAAGTCATCATCAATTTAAAAATCGAATCTGCAAATACCTTTTACAATTGTTTATGAATAGAGTTGTTGGTCGAAATGTATATAGTTTTGACTAACGTTTAGGCATTTCGACTGTCGAAATATATTTGTTATCTATCACTATGATTGTATAATGATTTTAATTAGAGTTCTATTTGAATCAATTATTTGTAATTAATTTTTGAGTATTCAATTTTTGGACTTTTATTCAAATAAAACAAATGAACAATAAATTTTATTCGATTCATTAATCTAAGGTTGAACGAATAGATGCATTGTTTTAATCGCTTATTTTTTGTGACATTGATCAAATCGATTTAATTTGTTGGCATTTAAACATATCATCTAAAACTTTAAAAGGTGAAATGACATCATGAGTACTTTGTGCGAGAAAGAGTTCTATTAATCTTTTTCGAAAAACAAACATTTTGCAAAAATGATTTTTAAAAATTTTCACGTGATCTGATGTAAAAAAACGGACGTTTCCTGCAGATCTATATAAAACAAAGTAAATTTTAGTAATATTAAAAATTTGATATATGAATTATCGTATGTATCAACTTTTAAGAAAATTTTTAAAGCAGGTTGTTAATAAAACCGAAAATAATCTAACCCTCAAAGTCAAATTTTGCCTTTATATTCATCATATACGTAAAATTTTGTTTGGCGCGTCCAATTGCAAGTATAAGTAGAAATAAATGTCCAAATATTACATTATTATGAATATTTACAGATTTTTGATCACTTAGGTATGTCTTTTATAGTAAAATCATTTATTTTAAAGTTAAATATAGATATTAAAATTTTTCATTTACATTTATTCCTGTAAATAATGATTAGAACAATAAACAACAACAATAATGACTAAATTTATCTCTGACTTTACTATTTATTTATCATAGTGATGTTATTAAATATAAGTTAAAATATATGTGAAATTTATATAAAATATTGAATAATTGATAAAACGTTCGTTAGAATATTTTGTTCATAGATCTTGTCATTAACGCTTGTACAAACTATTGAATAATTGATAAAACCTTCGTTAGTATATTTTGTTCATAGATCTTGTCCTTAACGCTTGTACAAACTATTTAATAATTGATAAAACCTTCGTTAGAATATTACAAACCATTGAATAATTGATAAAACGTTCGTTAGAATATTTACAAGTTCCATAGATCTTGTCCTTAATGCTTGCTTCGATCACTCCTATATACAAACTGGATCTTAATCTTTATTATCATCCTCAAAAAACGATGATTCGTTGTCGTTGTTGGATCTTCGTATATTGCAAATGTAACCAATCAAATCAAGTAGCGAGTTTTTATCTTTTTTTAATGTTTCCTTTTAACTAAATAAAATAAATAATAAAATTTAACAAAAAGAAGGGTCATGTCATGAAGGGTCAATACACCCAACATGAGCCACCCACGTGAGTCCCACCTTCCGCCACACGGGGCTTTACAGCCGGTCCAAAGTGAGGCATTACACCTAAGGGAGCCGGACACAGGGGACCTTATCTGATTTGTTAATTAAAAAAAAATATTGCACATGTGTATCTCAGTATTAATACGTATTGTTTATGAACAAGTTAATATTC